TGCTTTGAACCTACCTGCTGTCTCTGTTTACAGGCTGTTTGACGTTGGTGGTCAGAGGTCAGAGAGGAAGAAGTGGATCCACTGTTTCGAGGATGTGACAGCTATTATTTTCTGCGTCGCTCTAAGCGGATACGACCAGGTGCTCCATGAAGATGAAACAACTGTAAGTACTGGGGGGAAAGTGGTGCTGTGATTTTTCAAGCCTATAAATAATTTCCATTGCCACCATCATACTGACTCCATTTTTCAATCAATCAAAGGTTTTTTTTCATTATGGGTCATACATTAATCTGACAAAAAGTGCTGTAAAGAATATGAATAGGCAAAAAAAAGGTGACAATAGTTTACTTTAGTGAAAAAGAACTGGAATATACAATATATAAAGATATATTCCTTAAATATTAAGGGTAAACAAATAAAACAAAGAAACTATGATAGATAAGACCATGTTAGATGTTCATTTTTATAAAAAGGAAAAAAATACAATTGAATAGTCTGGCGACCTGGCCAAGGGGAACCCCGCCTTTTGCCTATAGACTCTTGGAAAAGGCATCAGCCCCACCAGAAGTAGAAGATGGATGGACAGGTGATAGATTAGAATTATTAATAACTGACACAAAACAATAAAATATTTAAAAATACATGGATAAAAAAGTTACAACCTAAAATGTCTGTAAATGTCTAGATATAAGTAAAAACGTTATCAATACTTGAGTCAATATCAAGTCAATACTTGATTAAATTCATAAATATAAAAAAATATCTAGCATAGCTAATTAGGGCTGCAACTAACGATTATTTTGCAAACCATTAATCTGTGGATAATTTTTTTGATTAATAATCGGATTGCCAAAGTTTCCTGAAAGAAGATGTTTTACTAAATTAAACCAGGTCAAACTTTTCCACTTAGGGAGTTCTGAATAGACCATTTTGACAGACATAAAAGTTTTGTATTTTAAATGCAAATTGTTTATACATATGTTGATATAATTCCTGCTTTAAGTGGGTTGCTCTGTCAGATAAAGGCATGTCTTAGAGTCTCTACACCCCATTTAAAAATTAAACTATTAATAAATTAGTTGACAATAATCGATATAATAGCAATCACTATAAATCAGATTGTTTCAGCCCTACAATATGAAAAAGAGATAGGAAAAAGACAAAACAGAAATGCATCCTATTATATTTTGTAAAGTGGGTAAAAGCCAAAATAAAATGCTTTCAAAAACATATCAAAATAATATAAAAACATAAAATCACATCTCAACACATTTGAACATTGGTCTTTTAAGACTCGTATGTCAGAATAAAATGACTTTTTGAAAATAACGTTATAGCAGGAAGTTAACACTTCATAATGCGCCCAGATTTCTTTTAGATTCTGTTTTTTTTTTTTCCCCATTTGACATTCCAATCTTAAATAATCTGTTTTCTAATAGCTATACATGGAAAATACTCAAATATAACAGAAATAAAAACTCTAAAACACCCGTCTGTTTGTAGTTATTCTATATGTGTTTCACTTAGTAAATTGAGTTGATTAAATAATTGAACTTTTCAATAATAATCTCATTTATTTAATATGACTGCAGTAATTACTGAAATTTAGAATAACTTTAATAGGAAACAAAACATACAAAAAACTTATAAGATAAAACAGGAAGATATTTCATTTATCTCTTTTAAAAAATTAAAAATCTGTATTATATAACTTATAACTAGAAACATTATAAAGGAATAAAGCATGAATATAGAATCTAACATTAAAATAGAAATTGAAATGAAAAAGTTTACTGTAGGATAAGAGAGAGATATTTAATTGGAGCAACATTCTATAACTATTTTTAAACTTTTTATTACATTAAAAAAGCCTTTTATGCTTGTAAATAACTATATTAGGATATAAAATTACTTAAAAGCAGAAGAAAAAGCTGTATGATGATTAACTTTAACTAAAAGAAAAACTGAATGAATCCAAACTCCCAGTTTCTGTCAAATCTTCAGAGGCTGCTCCACTGATGAGGACCACGCCTCACTTTAGTTCCCATTTTAGGTATCTACACAACACCTGTTTCTGGACACCTCAGGCAACCTGAAAAAACTGCAATGGAGTATGGAGAATGATTAGATCTGTATTATAAAAGGATTTAGTAAAGTGTTTGCATTACACCAAGAGATAGAAAGACGATCCAGCTATGGGAAAGTTCCTCAGATTAATAAATATGTATCTTAAAACATTTGTCTGAGTGTTGACCTGATAGGAAGGGTTCATAGGTGAATTTTAGCTGAATGTCGCTCTTCTTCCCACAGAACCGCATGCATGAATCCCTCATGCTCTTTGACTCCATCTGCAACAACAAGTTCTTCATTGACACCTCCATCATCCTCTTCCTTAATAAGAAAGATCTGTTTGCTGAAAAGATCAAGAAGTCGCCACTAACCATCTGTTTTCCAGAATACACAGGTAAATCAGTAAAGGTGTGTCCTCTCCTCCGCGCCCAGATAAACTAAGCGTAATATGTCTCCCCTCTTCCCTCTCCAGGTGCTAATACTTATGAAGACGCTACGGCTTACATTCAGGTTCAGTTTGAGAGCAAGAACCGCTCTCCCAACAAGGAGATCTACTGTCACCTGACCTGTGCCACAGACACAGGAAACATCCAGGTAGTGTTTGATGCTGTCACCGACATCATTATTGCAAACAACCTTAGAGGCTGCGGCTTATACTGAGGCCGCATGCCAGAAGCACAGAGGTCGTCATAGAGTGCGTGAGGTGTTAATAATGATAACTTTGATTATTCTTAAATGCATAAATATGTAATTCTACACGTCCAAACGGGACCCAAAGAGCTGTCGTCAAACACCACACTGGATCAATGCCATGATTTGTATCCCTGTCCTCTTATTTTAAATCTAAACCTCAGTTTTTTTTGTTTTCTTTAAAAAATGTGTTTTTAAGTTGAATGTTTATTGAAGGCTTGAAGCATCAGAGGTTTTTTCAGCTAAAGCCTCGCCCAGAAACACAGAAAGGGACACTGTCCTGTAACCCTGAGGCGCTGTGGCTCTGAAAACAGCCTTTGGTGCTCCATGCCACGAGCTGCTGAGCGTGAAGGTGGAGATGATGATGATGACGGTGTCTTGTGGCTGACGGGCATGGACGCAAAGTAACGAAGGAGGCTGTGTTAACTTTCCTTCAGACTGACACGTGACCAATTAAGCCTGCTGGTCTGTTCCAATCTGTTTTTAGTTTTTTCTGTCAAACATCATGAAAGAGAAGATTCTTCTGTTTAGAGCAGCTGCTGGTTGCCACCCATCAGCCAGTTATATCTAGGAAAACAGGAAGGAAGAGAAAACATTGGTGCCAATGATCTGAGAATTACATATAGGGGATTAGAATCAGAAATTATAGCTCATACTGTTGATTTATATGATTTAAATATCAGATTTTATTATAATAAATGATTTATTTATGCTTCCTACCTTTTAGATTAGTCCCGTACCATATACAGTGCTGTGAACACCCCCCTCACAGATTGTAGGGTTTTTGAAGCATGAATGACCCGATTAAGATCATATCACAGCATATTGGTTGAATTTAAGCCTGGACTTTGACTAGACTACTCTCAAATCTCCTTTTAGTCTCAGCACCCTCTAGATGTGGACATTCTGGTGTATTTGAGTTTATTGTCCTGTTGCATGTAGGGGCGTTAGATGACCCAGCTTTCTTTGTAAATATCTTTCTCACAATGAACAGAAAACACACTAAATAATCACTCCATCACTTTCTACTGTTGATAAATTCTTCTTCTGTAATGCTGTTAGTCGAATGCCAGGTGTAACAGAACACAGCATCCAGTTAACATCTTCACTGCAGTTTTAGGGATTATCAAGATATTTCAGCAGTGAGTTTTGCTTAGGGACTCTTCTGATGATGAGTTTTGCTCAGTCTTTTTCTTTTTCATAAGGCTACATTGGGGTAAATAAGGCCTGCAGCGCTTTAGAGATAATCTTTTGGTTCTCTGTTGACCTTCTGTATTAAATCATTGATGAACTCTTAACAGTGTACGAGTAGACCGACCAACAATCCATGTTTCTCCATTTCTGGATAATGGTTCCTACTGTCTAACACTGGATTTAAAAGCCTTAAAATGGCATTGGTACCCTTTCTTGGGTGATAGATATGAATGAGTTTTTAAATTCATGTCACACTTTTTCAAAAGGCAAAGAAGAAATCTGGAAGGGGTGAATACTTATCACAGCACTGTATTGGTTTCCATTCATGTTACACTGAGGGGCAGAGGGAGCAAAAAGCAGCAGCGTCCATGTTTTCTGGCTGCTACCCGGCCCTTGGATGTGGACAGCAAAGAAATAGACAACCTCAACAGAGGCAGACTTTGGTCGGGGGCTTTTTCTGATTTGAACCCACCCCTCCACCATCAATCATGTTTCTCTGTTTGCAGGGAAATCAAAAGCCCACCCATCTTCACCCTAAAATTCACCCTCCCATTCCCTTACTCTCTTTAACCCATCACATATCAGTCATTCCTCACATCCTATCTCCATTTTCACCCGAAAAAGCATCGTACTGTATATATATATTATGATTATACCAGATTTTTTTTTTTACTGTGAATGTTTTTGTGCTGCACCCCCATCCTACTCAGTAGTTTATTGGTTGCTCTCATGTGGAATGTTTGTGCTGAGCCAATCGAATGTTGTGTTTACATTAAAGCCACACTTTTCCTATCTCTGCTTTGGCAGTCTTTGAGTTTTGATTGCGTCGCATTGTAACAAGCTGTTCCCTTTGCTTTAATCTGCACTGAAAAATAATGCTGGACCGGGAAATTAGGCTGAATATTATGAGAGAGTGAACCACTTTTAATGCTTCAGTGCCCCGTGAACAAAGCTGCGCGTTTGGAGTCAGAAATATGTATAAAAAAGATTGGGAGCAGATCTGGCAGTGAAATGTGCTGGACGGCAGGGATCAGGAGCACAGCACAGCAAGCTCTCAATTTATTAGGTTAAAAGTGTTCCATCATCACCGGCAAGAAGCTATTCATATATTGAATGACTAGGCTGGATCAGCTGTCTGACCTGTTTCTGTCAGTTTAATGGCTGGGATGTTCATTACTGCTCTGCTGCACCCATGGCCCCACAGCTCCACTCCATAGTCCCAATGTGTCCCAGTTTTTCCTCTCAGCCAGTTTTAGGTTAAAAATATTTCAACTCTACTCTGATACAGTTACACATTGAGAATTTTAATTAAACATTTTACAGTTAATTAGGATCAAACTGTTTGCCATCACTGCTGTGAAACCCCGTGTCTCTTAAAGCTCAGCTGGAACTGATGCAGACTGGGATCAGCTGGCCAAACTGCAAAGAAAAAAGCACTGAGGAACAAACAGGGGTTTTGTTTTGTGTTGTGCACACATCTGTTAAGAGTTTTTGTTTTTTCCATATGCATCAGGTGGGTCTTTCTTCCCCATCGCTAAAAGCCGTTGCCTCTTGATCTAAAGTCGCAGCCTCTTGATATCTTCACTTCTGAAGTCAATCCGCAATGCCAGAACCTGACGCACCTCCGCGGGAGTCAGCCGCCATGTCAGTGGGCCTGAGTTAGGACCCCAGTAATCCAAGATCTCCGTCACCTGCACACAGATATAAACAGAGATCTCAAGATGCTATGAAAATAGCCCAATAATCAACCTGATTTCCCTCCACTTTTTGGCTCATTTTTCAATTATTTTGCCAAATGAATAAAAAGGAAATCACAAAGATTCTGGCTACATTTGAACCTGCCTTTAAAAAAAAAAAACTGAGCACCTACAGAACCCTATTTTATATGGACACAATCTTGCTCATATTAAGACCATAAAATATAACAGAGTAATCAGTGTTTCAGGGTTTATCAGAACGAGCTGCTGATTTCTGGTTAAGCTTGTTAGGAGACAGAAGAAACACTACCCATAACCTAATTGAAGTAACACAGTTTTAAAACTAGTCGGGAGTCTAAAGCAGCTGACATCAGATTCTACCTGAGCTGAAAGCTTGATCAAGTAGAAAAGCACTTTTAGAGCAAAGACCTCTGCCAAGCAGCTAATTTTTCCCCATTTAGTGACTTAAACCTACAGTTAAACTTGCATCTGATCTGAATCATTACCAAATTCAAATGAGGTGTTCCTTGGCATGAGGTGCATCGTTGGTAACAATTTCCTTATAATCCTTTCATAAGCTTATAAATAAGGCCCAGCATGTCTCTGCAGCCTCTGGTGTCTGTTGTGCTTTCACCTTCTTCATTCACTCTGCACTCTGCTTTCTTGTTTGATCAGCAGATCAAGACCACAAGCGAGGCATCGCTCCGCTTTCCCATATTTTTGTCTTCAGTCTAATACTTTTTTTGAGTCAATACTCACTGCTGCCACTCTCTGGTTTAGGGGAAAGCCGTGAAGTAATCTCTTGAAATCTACTAAATTTTGTAGATATTTTTTTCAATGGTTTTGTTTTAGTCAACCCATACATTTTCTATATGGCAATATAACCCCAAGAAAGCCAACTGCCTTTCTCTTTTTGAATCAAATAAATTAGATCACATAAAACTGATATTTCTGTTTAACATCTGGGATCCAGATTTTCATAAAGCCCCATCTTAAAGGACACCTCTGTATTCATCTTATATTTGGGCTTTTTTAGGCCTTTCAGAAAACAAGCTCACATTTGAAGTACATTTTTTTAGGATTCGCCTTTCCAGGGAAAAATGACTATAATTAATAAAAGTAAAGAGGATCTATTAACCTCTGAATTATAAACTGGAAGCCTGTATGACATGCATTTTTAAAAGTCATTTAACAACCTAATATTCAGAATAAATGCCACATAAATTAAACAAGTATATCCATGCACATACAAACCAGTGCAAGTATAAAATCCCAACAAGAGTGTAATGAATCTGAATTACCCGCTCCAAGTTGAGGATGGTGGCCATCTGCGTTAGGCGGGCGAACTTGTCTCTGATGGTCCAGGTGGTGACAGTGGTTAGGTACGCCACCAGAGACCGAAGCTCTTTATCAAACTGCAGCCCTCCGAGCTGCAACATTGTGATGGGGGAAAATAAATGAACTGTGGTAAAACTAAAAGGTCTAGTCAGGAAAATCTCTGCAATTATTTATATGTGTAGAGGTTGTTTGGTGCCTCCTAGTGGACAAAATCAGCTCCTTACCCTGCTAAATGAGCATTTGAGCACAGTCTTCTCCAGTTCAACAGAGATCAAGCTGGTCATCAGGCTCGTCAAAGTGTCATAGATTACAGGAGAAAGGGCTGCCTGTGGAGGTGACTTAAAATGGGTTAAAACACATAATGAATACAGTCAGAAATGAGCTGATTTAAGTTAAACACCTTAAATTCTGCCATGAGCTGCTCCAGGTTGACGATGAGCTGCTGCACCCAGGGGTCGTTCGCTTCATAATCATTAAACTCCTCCTGTGGAAACCGGCAACAATGAAGACTAAAGGAAAACACAAGTTCTGGAGCTTTTCCATTCAGAAATGTGTGATGATTAGTACCTCCTCTATGTTGTGGGAGATGGATAAAAAGCTGCTGATCCAGGGTTTGACTTGTGGCTTTACAGCTGTCGTGTTTAACTCTGTTAGACCCTCCTAAGTATTAGAATAAAATGAAGGTTTTAAACTTTCACCATCTAAGAAAAGTCCTATTGTGACACAAATGGGCTCCCTTAGCTCTACAGATAACTCTTTAAAAGACTTTATTAGAATATATCTATCATCAACAAATTCCGGGCAGGAATGGTGGTTTGTCCTGTTTGTCTCTGTGTTGCCCGATGGACTGGCGACCTTTCCAGGGTGTACCCTGCCCCTCGCCCCTAGACAGCTGATGATAGGCACCTGCACCCTCATGAACCCGCTTTGGATAAGCGTGAGGGAAAATGGATGGATGGATCTGCAAACTCATAGGGCCGGATTTATCAAGATCCAATTTTGCGTGCAGTAATTTGCGCTCGCAAACTGGAATTTTGCGCGAGGGGCTGAACCATGGTTTGCGGGTGATTTAACAAGAGTGATTGCGTAACTGGTGGAAGGTGCAAAACTGTTGGAGACACCCTATTTAAATGATGGTTTTGCGCGTTTTGTGGTTTGCGGCAAAGTAGTTTGTAGTCTGTACAAACTAGTGCATTAAGAAATTTAAATCTTACAGTGACCCCCAACAAAAAAAATTAATAAGTAAATAAATATATATATATATATATATATATATATATATATATATATAAAAATTGGCAACCTTTATTCCCTAAGGTGGTACGTGCTGCAGTAAAAAAAAACAAAAAAAAAACAGGTGTTTTGTATTGGCCTGTGACTGTGGATGAGATCCCCGCAGCATTTGGCACGTTGCTCCACAGGCGCAGGGGGAGAACCCCGACCCCGTCGGACAGCACTTCTGAAAAAACGACATTGGGAGATCCCAGCTCTCGCTGCAACCGTACACTGGAATGACCCAGATGCAAAAAAGTGCAATGTTGCAAGGAGTTTTGTGATATCTGGTATTGCGTGGGTCCTCCTTGTGGCTGGCTCCAAATCCATTCGGAGTTCCCCCAACAGCTCCAAAATGGCAATGCTGGATAAACGATATGTTTTGATGATCGTTTCCTCGTTCATTGCAAAAATATTCACACGGAGTGAAAAAATGCGTTCTCTGCGTCTCCTTGCTTTATTTCCATGTCTCCTTCTTGCGACAATAACTGCTGCCATGTGTGCACAATTACGCATACAGACCATTTGCACCTTCTTTTGAAACGTGTTAAATATAGAGTCAGATACCGTTAGCAAAATTGCGTTCAGGTTTGATAAATCACTTTGCGAGTGCTAAATTAATATATTTACATGTTCTCCTCCCACAAGACGCACTTTTGCGTGTAAACGCCCAATATTGCATATTCATTGCAGAAAAAGTACTAAATGGATAAGAGGCGCTATTTAGCACATTTTAAAGACCAAATCCTTTTAGCACGCTGTTGATAGATCAGTTTGTACATTTTTTAGCGTGCGCAGTGAAATAGCTCACGTTTTAATACACGCAAACCTTTGATAGATCCGGCCCATACAAGGGTTCTACTCATGCATCAGGGACTTTAAACAGTTTACCTTGGTCCTTTTGAATGGATTTATGGAAACTTTATAAGCAATTTCAAGTGTAACAGTAAAAACATAGACCACTTTGGCTTAATTGAAAGAAAACTATCAATATTCCTCAATTTTTCCCTGTTTGACTAACCTGTAATAGATCCTTGAACTTTGCAGAAGTGCTGACCAGGTCAGACAAACAACTCTCGATCTTTGCTTTTTCACCAGATCCAATCCCCTGACTAAACAGCTTGGAGCAGTCATTCTGCCAGGAAACAAATCAGCTTTTTTGTTAGTGGAGCAATTTACTGAAAGAATGTAGATCAGAAAGTGTAAAAGAAATTTGCAACTTACCTCCAGGTTTCTCTTTAGAGTAGTGATATTTTCACTGCAAACCTCCACATTATTCAAAGTGACCTGAGTTGGACAGACACGTTATAGAAGTGCGACGATCAGCCAGAGATCAGAACCAGACAGTTTTCTGAAGTTAGGGTCTAGTTATAAGGTTGAATACAAGATTATTTGATCTTTATATTAAATAAATAGAAACAAATTCAAGAACTACTGCTTTTATAAGTTTATAAAGGCATTAAAAAGCCATACAACTTTTGGCTGCCTTTTTTTTTGAGATTCCAAAAAGTCCGACAAAGGGTTACGGAGATATGCAAGGATAATACTGTAACCATTTTAGCACATCTCTACATATTTATTGGACTTTAAAAACCCGAGGAATTCAAAATATTTATGCTCCAATGAAAGAATAAGGCTTTTGGTCTACAATGGCAATAACTTGTGCAATGTATAACGTGCAATTTAATATTTGATACCTTGTGCAATAACCTGTTTCTCTATATTTGACACCCAATGCAATAACTATATATATATATCCATCTATTTAATGCCCATGTAAACACCCTGTGCAATAACCCTGTATAATGATCCTACAATTAAAAAAAACTGTCATATGTGGACACACTATACATACTGTACATATCCCATTTACCCTTTTCTTCATTTGGCACATTCTTTTCCTTTGACTATTTAAGCTAATGTAACAAGTACATTTCTCAACAGTGAGATCAATAAAATCAATCAAGTCAACCCTAATTCTGGGTTATAGTAGCTGCAGGACAGGGTTGTGTCTATGTTTATCTTACCAGGAACGCAGCCTTGGCATTCTCGGTGCTCTCGATGCCCAGCGTATTAAACTTCCCCTGCTGTAAGCTGCTCTGCATCAGGCTCACCGCACTGCTGACTCCCCGCTGGATGTCCTGAAGCGTCGTAGCTGGGAAGCCCTGACGCAGCCTGTTGTACAACACCTCTCTAATGGGATGAAACGTACCATGCATAAAAATGCATTAATGTGAGATACAAGGTAGTGAGTTTTAGAAAACCTTTTAATGTATGAGGTGGAGAGGTTGAGTTGTTACCTGAAGTCAGTCTCCAGCAATGAGTTGGCGTGGTTGATCATGGCGCAGAGGCAGTCTATATTGGAGCTGGATAATGATCTGCTGATGCACTTTTTAACAATGTAGAAACAGTCATCCACCATGCTGCTGGTCAGCTGACCCTTCTCATATGTGTCCATGGTGACAGCCTGAAGTAAAGGAGTGTGATAAATATGTTTTATAAAAAGCAGGCAACATAACTTCACATACTAAAGAAGCAAAATTAGAATAAACAGTAAATTTCCTGTGAAAATCTGGGACTCATCAACATTAACAATATGCTTAAGTTCCAAAATTCTTTTTGTTTAAAGCAATGACAAAGAAAATGCCTCAGGTATTTAACTCCTGAAGTGTGTAAACCAAAATCTTTGTTATTTTGAATATCAGAAAACAAAACAACATAAAAAATAAAATAAATAAAACTCCATTTACACTCGTTTACTCATGTTATGACTTCCAATCATTTTTTTTCATTCCTTTTAATAATTTTGGCAAAACATGTTGGCAGTAATATGCCCAATGCCTTCCTGAGAGACTGCTTCAGGACCGCTCAGGGCGACTTATGACCCACAGAGAGAGGTCTTCGCTCCAGCTTTAAGATCAATAGCTTTACAGCCCACCAAGTGCAGACACGCAGAACAATCTTATAATACAAAAGTCATGAATAAGTCTAGACTATTTTTAACTTCATGCCACTAACAGAATTCAGATGCAAAATACAAGAAAAAAAGTAATACTGTTTGTTAAATTTGTGGCCCTTATTAGAACATCCATATTACCAATGACACAGACAAGACACAGCAGGACTAAAAGTCCTCTATAAACACCCATGGGGGCAAATATCATAATGAGGCAGCGAAACAACTCCAACACACTGGAAGTAATTCGCTTAACTGGAATCAGGTCAGTAACTTAGGATATGAAACAGAGCATCCCTAAGAAACCAAGTCATTGAAAAACAACAGATACAGATCCTATTTACAGGTTCACAAAAATGAGGAGCAGGATTTTTATTTTATTCAATTTACAACCTGAAGAATTTACCAGCAACATCTGAAACTTTTAGATGTGTTTCAGCTGTAACACATGTGAATAAAGGCTTAAAGAAGAAAAACATGATCACCAAGGAGGATATAGGTCATGTGATTGGACCAGAGACACATGTGAAGGATGTAGGACGGCACCTCTTAAGGAGATTTTTTTAGAGGAAATGGAAACACCTGTTTACACAAGGGACAAGGCTGGAAATAAAAACAAAGCATATGGCTACAAGCTTCAGAGAGTGCTGCATTAGATTAATCAATCAATAAAGAAAAAAAAAAAAAAAAAAATCACTGATAGGCTCCAGGCAAAAAATGCCTGGTAACTTGGAATGTCACAGTAAACATTAGTACCATAACTCTAAATGTATTTCAGTTGGATTGCATGTGATAGTCCAACACAAAGCAGCGTATAACTGCTATGATTTTCTTATTTTGATGGTTTACTTTTATTCTCTATAATTATTGGTGTTGCCTCTATTTTGCTGCAATGTACTTTTTTTACGTACAGCACTTTGAATTGCCTTGTCAATGAAACGTGCTACATAAATAAACTTGCCTCGATTGAGATACACGATGAATAGAGGAATATGAAGATTTAAGTCTAGTCAAAGATTTTCTTTGAACCTCCACCCGAGTCTAAAGCCTTTTAGCACTGACCTGGATCATCCTCCTACCCAGTAGCTCTGACCTGCTTCCTTAACATGAAGAGGTGTCTTCCTTATGGGGGTGGTGCGTTCAGGGTCATGTTTTCCACCACACAGCATTTTCCATGTAGGCCAAACATTTACATTTTGGTCCTGCCTTTCTTTGTTGTGGCTTGTTAGAGGACTTCATCAGACACGTCAGCTTTCTTGGGGGTTTTTATTTGCCCCACCCTTTTTCCTTCCCACACTGTAATAATGTTCACTGAGAAACGTCTGGGTCCTTTTACTGGGTAGATCTACAGTGATGGTAATTTACCCTGGATTTTCTTTATGGGCATCAGACTAAAGGGGTTGTACTATAAATCAAAACAATGCTACTGAGATTATTTTCTCTTAGAAAAAAAAAAAACAACCACAGTTGACTGTAGTTGCAAACAGACCAACAACTCGTATAAAACAAGCAAAGTAATCAATAAAATCAATTATTCTCTGTGTTGATTCATCACCTATCAAAGTTTGAGGGGTACAAAATAAAAATAAAAATGTAACAGGCTTACTGAAGACTAGAGGTCATGTATAGCCAGAGAGTTAAAATTGGTTAATTTCTATTCAAACTACTTCACAAGTTCTTTTAAAACCTTTTCCATTAGTTTATCCTGTATATTATTAATCTATATGTTGACAATAAAAATTTTATCTTTTGTACTGCCAAATTATTCCTGTTAACAATAGCCGTGATTTCTAAAGCTTTTTAGAAATACCCAGCTGTGATCTTTTTAACATTACAATTGATTCTGAATGAATATTATTAAATGATGGTTTACATAAATAGCTTATTGTGTCGGTGTTCCAGAAAGGTTTTGAGGATAAATTTTACAATTAATCACATTCTGTACAACAGAATAATGGTTTGTAAGCCTGACCTTGTTAACGGACTCTCTCATGTAGTATTCCTCCATTGGGATGTAGTATCCAATCAGCTCTTGAATCATGGTGCTCAGTAAACAGTGTTTGATTAGCTTCTCCAAATTCTGTTGGTGCTCTAAGAGTTATTGGAGAAAGGAAGGAATAATCCATTTTAGCCCAAATCATAACAAGAAAAGAGCTCTCCAAAACAAAAAGCAATGCTTTGAGATGAAGATACCCTGCGTGATGCTCTGAGCATCTCCAACTTCAAAGTCGGCCATTATTCGGCGACGCAGGAAGCGCAGGTAGAGCTCTGCCCGGGCGTTCATCAGGGTTACTTCTGACAGTACGGGGTCAAGCTCCCTGTTAGACATGGAATAATCATACAAACAATGCAGAGATAAAAAGGAGATGGAGACAGAAAGCAGACAGATGGCTAAAGACCTTGGCTCGATCCGCTCTGCTGGTACGCTCTTCATCATGCTGCTCTGGACAACCTGGAACTAGAGGACAAGGGTTTAAAGGGGTCAGATATCTGGAGCAGAAACCACAGGATGCAGCTCAGCCGACACATAAACACACACCTTGTTGTGGTATCCTCTTTGCTTGATGAACGTGTCGACGATTTTCTGCGCCTGGCGGTCACATTCCTGCTGCAGGTGAGTGATGAGAGTGTACAGATGACCTGGACCATAATATGTTTCCACTATGGGCTGATGGGTCTCTACTACACGGGCGATACCTATGAAGAGAAGCCATCGTTTCAATGGAGTCATGTCATGAGCCAGCGCAGATGGAGGATTCCTCACCTTCCAGCAGCAGTGTTAACGTGTCTGCAAATACCAGCAGAGCTCTCTTCTCCCCCACATCACCTCCTGTCGCCAGCAGCAGGTTCTCCTCAGCTTTGGAGGCGAGCTGTGAAAGGGAGCGTGCAAAAAATACAAAGAGGGAAAAGTCTCTCAAAATATCAAGTTTAAGTGGCAAACTAAAACCTAAAAGATGGGGACGTTTTTTTCAGGATGTGGGTATACGAAGGAATGACAGAAGGGAACCAGAGGAGTGGATGATGGAGGATGGTGAGTTAAAGAAAAGCAAAAGCGCTACTTCCAGCCATGTAAGGGAAAGAAAAAACATGACAGAAAGTATTCTGATCAGATGAGAACAAAATACTTCATACAAAATTCTATAGATGTATAAAGGATTAACACTGCACACATGACCCCCACAAACATTAGGGTCATGCTGTGGGGGATGCTTTTTTTTAACAGAAAGAGTTAAAGCTGGACGGGTTTGATGGGAGGAGGGATGAAGTTAAAAACAGAGCAAGACTGGAATTAAAAACAAACAAAAAAAGAAGTGAAAAGATCTTCGGCATACAGCCAGAGATACTGTACAATGAAACGGTCTTAGAACGGCCTACTGAAAGGGCCAGACCTACAGTGGGGCCAAAAAGTATTTAGTCAGCCACTGATTGTGCAAGTTCTCCTACTTAGAATAATGAGAGAGGTCTGTAACTTTCATCAAAGGCACACTTCAACTATAAGAGACAAAATGAGAAAAAAAAAATCCAGGAAATCAAATTGTAGCATGTTTTAAGAATTTATTTTCAGATAATGGTGGAAAATAAGTATTTGGTCACCCACAAACCAGCAAGATTTCTGGCTCTCACAGACCTGTAACTTCTTCTTTAAGAAGCTCTTCTGTCCTCTACTTGTTACCTGTATTATTGGAACCTGTTTGAACCTGTTGTCTGTATAAAAGACACCTGTCCACATCCTCAAAGAGTCACACTCAAGACTCAACAATGGCCAAGAACAAAGAACTGTCGAAGGTCACCAGGAAAAATATTGTAGAACAGCATCAGCCTGGGAAGAGTGAATCTATAGGCAAGCAGCTTGGGGTGAAAAACAATCAACTGTGGGAGCAATAGTAAAAAAATGGAAGACATAAAAGACAACTGATAATCTCCCTCGATCTGGGGCTCCATGCAAGTTCTCATCCCGTGGGGTAAAATGATTATGATAACGGTGAGCAAATATCCCAGAAGTACACGGAGGGACCTGATTAATGACCTGCAGAGAGCTGGGAACAAAGTAACAAAAGCTACCATAAGTAACACACTACACCGGGAGAGACTCAAACCCTGCAGTGCCAGACGTGTCCCCCTGTTCAAACCAGTATATGTCCAGGCCCACTTAAAGTTTGCCAGGGAGCATATGGATGATCCAGAAGAGGAGTGGGAGAATGTCATGTGGTCAGATGAAACCAAAATAGAACTTTTTGGTAAAAACCCAACTGTTTTGAGGAAGAAGAAGAATGCAGAGTTGCATCTCAAGAACACCATACCTACTGTGAAGCATGGGGGAGGAAACATCATGCTTTGGGGCTGAGGGAAGAATGAACGAGGCCATGTATCATGAGATTTTAAGCCAAAACCTCCTTTCATCGGTGAGAGCCTTGAATATGAAATGTGGCTGGGTCTTCCAGCATGACAACGATCCCAAACACAGCACCCGGGCAACGAAGGAGTGGCTCCGTAAAAAGCATTACAAGGTCCTGGAGTGGCCTAGCCACTCTCCAGACCTCAACCCCATAGAAAATTTGTGGAGGGAGTTGAAAGTTCGTGTTGCCCATCCGACAGGACCGAAACATCACTGCTCTAGAGGAGATCTGTAGGGAAGAATGGGCCAAAATACCAGCTACAGTGTGCAAACCTGGTAATGACTTTGCCAACATAGGTTATGCTACAAATTATTGAGTTGAACTTTAATTATTGACCAAATACTTATTTTCCAGCATAATTTAAAAATAAATTGTTTAAAAATCCTACAATGTGATTTCCTGGATTTTTTTTATTTTTTACATTTTGTCTCTTATAGTTGAAGTGTACCTATGATGAAAATTACAGACCTCTCATTATTCTAAGTAGGAGAACTTGCACAATCAGTGGCTGACTAAATACTTTTTGGCCCCACTGTAAATGATGTTGAGATTATAGCAATTACCTATTCAGTATGTGTCTGATTTTGTGGCATTAATCAAATTATAGAATTACAGAGTAAATCTTTTAAAGCAAAGCAATTTCATTGTTATCTAAACAGTCAAAACCAACCAATAAAAGTTTAATTTGGTATAAAGTTTGGGATCAGTCTACATTTCTGACCTGTTGTTTAGTATGCTGCCAAGTTGATCAGCTTGTTTGATCAAATTTTCACATTGCACAGACAACAAATAACCTTTCCTTTCCAACACATTAGCAGTTCTGCTTGAAAAAACCCACCTGACTGCAAAGGTATTGACCAAATCGGGCGAGACCCTGCTGGTGGAGGCCCAGAAGAGGGAAGATCTTGAAGAACCTCTCCACTTGAGCCAGGTCGACTTTTGCTACAGCCTCATCAAGCTTCTCTGCAACAATCACCTTCAGCTTTTGTTCTGCCTCCTGCAGGGTCACTAAACTGGCATCCACAGCGCTGCCTGTTTAGAAATGACCCATACTGACTGTTATAAAGTTTGGCTATCAATGAAGATGAGAGAAACGATGCCGATAACATGCAAAGGTAACGTTTGTATCCTAATTCAAACATCTTAGTAGGTTTTTGAATTGGTGCAAATAAAAACACAGCAGCACAAAAGTTAAATAAAGCCTCATACGTTCTTCTCCCTGACGGCTCAGCTCAATCACCGATTGGTCCAGAGAAAGGTATCGATGGATGTGCGCTGCAGCTTGTTCGTAATCTTCATTACGCAGCGCCGTCTGTACGCCGTCAGTGCAGAACTTCAGGTCCAAGATATCGTCAGCTCGCTGGATGACGTTATAAAGCCGTGTCTGACAGAAAAAATATAAAAACAAAACAAAAACAAATGCATGAAATGAAATGAGACATTTGGTTACTATTGTGTTAAAAGTACAACATTAAATATTTCTGCATTAAATACTACAATCTCCACAAAGGAAAAGTAATAGATGTATATTCACTTTTGCCAGGTCTAGCTGTCTAACTTTCTGGCTGACATTTTCAGCAAGACTGCATGTGAATGTGATCATCCCCGACAGCTGACTGGCGTCTCCTCCAATCAGCTGTAGATTGGGTCTGCAAGACAAAAATAAATACCATAATCACAAAGACCTCAGACAAAAGGCTCCTTTGAGACTCAAACCAATCTATAAAGACGTTACCCCATCCTCTGCAGTGCCAGCATCTTATTGTGGATGTTCCCCTCCTGTCCCACCAGCCTGTCCAGCTCAGCTTCAACTTCTTTCTGTAATAAAAATTTATTTTTACAATTGTTAAATTGATTAGCAAACACGAAGTGCAAACACAATGTTAACATTTCGGAATACCATTGTAAAATGTATTAATGTCAGTAGCATGTCACTATGTGCAATTATGGTATAAAAACATTATTTTTTTTCAATTTTTATATATAAATGTATTTTCTCAACAATATTTTCTTAAATTTATATAGATGAAGAAATACTGGAAAACATTTTTTAAACCTGGTTCTTGTGACAACTGGGGAATTTGGTGATTTTCTTTGTTTAAACGAAAAGGTGCATGAACTAACATCTTGAGGTGTTTACTGAGTTTTAAGACACAAGTTCTTTCCCTTAGGATTTTTCCCTCAGGGAAATTCTGGTTCCAGTAGCTTATATAGAGTACAAAGGGCAGACTTAAACCAAGATGTCATTAAAGATTTAAAATACAACAGAAAATATAAAAACAAAAGTGTATTTAGTACAAAAAAGCAAAAAAATATTATTTTAGATATAAAAAACATCTGCACAGTACAGAGCTAATGGAAGAAAACACAGTAGTTGACTTGGATTATTGCACATGAGTGACTATAGGTAATGTTTTGCACAAGATGTCCAAGGAGGGGCAGAGCATTGTCCCTGTTCCTATCACCTCCTCCTTCCACCAGGCGAGTTTTACAGCTTGGGTAACAAAGGAGTTCAGCAGTCTGTGAGTCCTACATTTGGGGAGGAGCAATCTCTCACTGATCAGGCTCCTCTGAGTTATATTATTATAGGTCAGGCTGCTGGGAGATCATCTTCGGTTTAAGTTACACATTTTGCAGCAGCTCTCAAAGTTTTGATGTTTTTTAAAATTTCATTTTAAAAGACCTAGCTGAGAATAATGGTGGTAGATCTTCACTTAAGGAAATTGACAACCTGGCAAGGACTTCTATAATGCATTATTTTTATTGAAATGCCTGTACATTGTTATACATAACTAAAACCATTTTAGACCTGTACCAAATAAACAGATGATTAAAATATGGAATAAGAGAGAAGGGGGCTAAGTTGCCTGGAGAGGTAGGCAGATACAGTATATCTTACAGTTTCTTGCCTTAATTTAAGAATAGTTTACAATATAGCAAAACAAACATAACAAAACAAACAAAATCAAAAAATGGGCTTTTTATTTGAAAAAGCACTGGTTAGTAGCTTTAAAAAAACTGGTAAAAATAGTTTTGTTTCCATTAGCTTAACTCGCCTATAATTACTCACTATAGTTACATTGGACACTGAACTTTAAGCTATCCTCTAAGAAACAGTGTTATTCTGATCCAGTTGCTTCGATATTAAATCAACGGTGTATTTTTTGTATGTTTTCTGATCTGACTGAATGTTGTAGCATCGCGGAAGTTTACGTGGTGACGTAGGCACAAATGTAGATCCATCTCCGGCACCTACCTCCTCGGTACAGAGCTGCTGATAAACCCGCTCCAGATCCTCCAGCTCCGTTAGCCCGGAGATCGTTTCCATGCTAACGGACGAAAGGGCGCCGGAGTCGGTCCTCTGCGCTGCCAGAGCTCCTACAGACATGAGAGCTCCGCTGTCAGCCATCTTCCGCCATTAAAGAAAAGCGTCAACGTCAGCAGTGTGCTAAGGCTCCCTGAGTTTAGTCTGGCAGGTAACACTTCACCAATAAAACAGCTCACCTTTGCATCGATATTGTTCTGTTACGCATGGATTTTCATGACCGTGTTTTCTTTATCATGCATATACATAAAAATGCTTTATATCATACGTAAAAAAAAAAAAAAAAAAAACAGCTTGGCGTTATTCACGATTCCAAGATAAACCCACAACCTGAGAAGACTACTTTGAGGGTGAAATATCCCCCGCATACACTCCACATCTTGCATGGATTCTGATTGGTTGCAACATATTCCGCATGTCTGCCTTTTTAACTTTAAATATTTTTATTTTATCCATATCTATTTTATCTATTGATTTGACAAACCTAATAATTTTGTAAAAATTTTATCTTATCGGAGCTTTAGTATCAATTTCTATCATGTTCATTCCCAAGTCAATTGTACTATCTTACCTTGTGTTGAAACAGCAATATAATTTTGGCAGGTATGGCATCTACCATACCCTGAGTGAAATCACTATAAAAACGTTTTTTGGGTACATTAACCTAATTTACTTAAATTACATTTCCATAAAAATTGGGCTAATTTTGTTTATCCCCTACACTACATATCCTGCCTGCATTTATCTTAATTTAAAGTATTCATAGTATGAAACTGACAAAAGCCTATATAGTAAAAAAAATAGGATATAGGAAGCTTTATTCAAGACACAGAGCCAACAGGATCAGTGAAAGGGATATTTATATAAAGAACTTTATCCAACAGAAAAGATCCATAAAACTGATTTTCCAAAGCTTAACCCCAACCATTGCCCATTAATTTAAGTGTTTGCAAGTTTAGGCTGCTGCAAATAGTTTTACAGTTAAGAATAAATCTGACAGCATGAAGGATCATTTGAAAAGATTATTTAAAGAAAAAAAATCCAGTATACATAAACATGCTACAAAGTTACTTTTGAGTTTTTCTGAAGAGAACCATTTGAAGGTAGAGACATCATCCTGGATAGAAATCCAAAATATTCTAAGGAAACATTAGCCGGATCAGGAATTCATTGATCCTGCATTGATTTTCCAGAAAATCGTATTTTACATTTATGGGAAGTTAGCATATATGTATATTTAATTTTTTCTTACATCACCATGTGTTAGAATTTGTCCATCACTTTCATAAAAACTGGAAATCATTAAATCGTATCACTACCACCGTCTGTGCTTTTAGAGAGCAACATAAATTTTTCCCTTTCCTGGTTGAACTCTTCCCATTTCTTCTGCAACTCTGCCTTTCCCTTCTCCAGCTCCTCTCTCTGCCTTCTTAGCTCCTCAGCTTCCTCCTGTTGGGCTTTCCTCAGTGACTCAATCTTCTCCCTCTCTGCAGCCACTTCTCTGGCGCTGACTGTTTGCAGCTTTTCCAGCAGCTCCCGTTGCCGCTGCAGAGCCTGAGCCTCCTCTTTCTGTGTTCTTCTTAAAGCTTCAATCAGCTCCAGCTCCATTTCAAAAACTCTGATTTCTACTTCTGGTTGCCTTGGGGTCTTCTGTCCAGTTGTAGGAAGGGATGGTCTCACTGAAACAGATCATTTGAAGCAGGCATAAATGTAAAACCCAAAGCTTTAAAAATGTCAAACCTGAAATAACAGCTTACCTGTCGACTGTTCAGGTTTTATGAATAAATTTTTTGTTGTTCCACCATGACTATTTGTGTGCGGTGAAAGTTGCTGCCTCTGATTAGATCCCAGCTCAGAAAACGCTTCTGGATGCCTTTTTGACAGATGTCGGTGAAGATTACCGGTGCCACCGCTGTCGAAGCATTGCAGCTTCCTCGAACAAATACGACATTGCGCTGCTTCTGCACTCTCTAATATGTCAAAGTGCTTCCAGATCATGCTTCGTCTGCGGTTTTTAGTTGGTGGTTTATCAGAGGAGTCGTCAGTCGCCCCTGAATGTGAGGCCTTTTGTGTTGAAACCTCTTGCAAAGAGTCATTTATGACATGGTTGGTATCCTCGGGTTCATTAGAGGGGGTCACATCAGAGTTACCGTCTTCCAAACTGACTTCCACTGGAAAAACAAAGAAAATCAAGTCACCTCTTGGAATGCAAGTTAAATTTCAAGTCCTACACTATTATAACCTGTAAGAATTTAAAACACAGCATTCATTTCTGCAGCTATTATTTTTTGTAAGTGTATTTTGGACAGGCATAGGAACCATTTAGAATTCTAAGGCCTGGACTAGTGAGGGAACATCAATTTTATGTTCTGTGTATCTGGGCTAACTTGGATCAACACTCATTTTAAAATCTACAACTCCTACAAAGCAGGATTACAGGGCTAGCGAGGTTTAACTTCAGGTTTAATCCTGACTTTATGGTATCAGGGTTCTGGATTCATTCTTTGCTAGGCTAGTCACTATGGTAACGTACTCTTAACGGCAAACATGCTCGCGGATACAAAGAAAATCCTTCACCCAGAAGCCAATAAGCTGTTCAACAAGGGCATGCCTTTTCATCGTAGACCCGGTTTAATCCACACAATAAAGTTAAATCACAATAAAGGAACTTGAAAATTAAATAGCTAAAAGAAAATTAAGTTTTAGACAAATTGAGTGGTTTCTTGTTTGTGTTTCCTTTAAGAAACAGATATTAGGTAGGTTTTTTTTTCTTTTTTAATATGTAATGAAAAAATGTTGGAAACAGTGATCCTTTCTAGAAAGCTAATGTTTATAGAAGTTTCAAGCTGTCCTGTTTTTAGAATGAGCTAAACCAAACAGTCTTGGAATACCATTGGTCCAACTAATCCAAAGCTGTCGAAAGACAGAACGTGTGGCATAATGTCATGGTGTCGATTTTAAATATTATGTATTTAATCAGTAAGTAAAAACTTTAGAAATGAAACTAATCTAGAGTAAATATTTAAACATAAATTTGATGCAGCAAGTTAAACATATAGCAGTTTAATACAAATCACTGCGACACAACTGTAAAATTATTCACCATTAGTTGTTCAGAAAATGAAGAAAACTCTAAAAAAAACACTAAAATGTATGCATTAGATGAACCATTTCATTTAAATATGTGATTTTAAACCAGTTATTCCTTGTATTTGGCTCAAATTTCTTCATTACAAAGTAAAAACAAATTTGGAAACATCATTCTAGAAACTACTTGTACATTAAGCTGATAAGAAGGAATGGAGCCAAATCATCTTAGAATGTACTCGTATTTAACCAATTTTGCAAAAGATGACAATGAGGAGTGCAGGAACTGAAATGAGGATAAGGAGAGGGGTGAATCTAAAGAGACATTACAGAGTTTTCTAATGATACTGCCACCTGTGGCAAAATCATAGAACTGTAGCCCTCTTCTGCTCGTTCTCGTAGCTCTTGCTCGTGCTTAAGGTTGTTGTTTTTTTTCACCATAAGGGAGTTGCCATTTGTGTATGAGTGGAGCTGGATGCTGGCTTCTGAGTATTAATAAAATGCATCTTGAATATACGCTTAGATTGTTCGCTGGGCCGGACCCATTCAACATGATGTGGTAAATGTCACATCCACTAAAGAGCGCGGGAACTTCCACCTGAAGTATATTTAGGAAAATAGGCTACAGGCTTCTGGATGCATCAGCGCTGAACTACCGGGTTGTTAGCCTGCTCATAAAACCATGCTGTAGTTACAAATGGTCAGATAAAATCGCTATTTTAAAGCTATGTTTCAGCTAAAGCTTACATGTCTCTTTATGATAGCTTAGATAAAAACAAACACAAAGTAAGAACTTCAAATTAAGTAATAACTGAGACCCAACTGCGACAGGCAAGTATATTCAAAAACAAAAAGACAGTCATTGCAGTAAAAGATTACCTGGAATCCATTTCTGCACACCGTCCCACACAGTCACTCCTTCTGCACCATCAGCATTAGAACCCTGCAAAAGATCACATACTATATGATGCAGCTTGGCGAATGAAAACTTAGCACTATCCTTTATTCTAGATGGTGGAATACAGCCTTTAACACTCTGACATTCCTAAATGCATATGCAGCAATGAGGAATGTACTACCTCCTACAGCTTAAAGTACTTCTAGTTTGCTCATTGTAAACCAGTTACACATACAGTGGGTAAAATTAGGATTGAGCTCATACTTTTCAATAGTTAACATATTTCTAAAGTTGCTACTGCCATTAAAAGTCAACAGTGGGTCGGTAACAACCATAGTAATCCATACATAAAGAGAAAACAAAACAAATGAGCTTAGAACTTAACTTATTATTAATAAGGTAAATGTAAACAAGACAAAGACCAGAATCTGCAGACCAATCAAAGGCTAAGTACAGGTGCTGGTCATAAAATTAGAATATCATGAAAAAGTAGATTGATTTCAGTAATTCCATTTAAAAAGTGAAACTTGTATATTATATTCATACATTACATACAAACTCATATATTTCAGATGTTTATTTTGTTTAATTTTGATGATTACAAATGACAACAAATGAAAATCTCAAATTCATCATATCAGAAAATTAGAATATTGTGAAAAGGTTCAAAATTGATGGCCCCTGGTGCCACACTCTAATCAGCTAATTAACTCAAACCACCTGCAAAAGCCTTTAAATGGTCTTTCAGTCTAGTTCTATAGGCTACACAATCATGGGGAAGACTGCTGACTTGACAGTTGTCCAAAAGACGACCATCGACACCTTGCACAAGGAGGGCAAGACACAAAAGGTCATCGCTAAAGAGGCTGGCTGTTCACAGAGCTCAGTGTCCAAGCACATTAATAGAGAGGCGAAGGGAAGGAAAAGATGTGGTCGAAAAAAGTGTACAAGCAAGAGAGATAACCGCACCCTGGAGAGGATTGTGAAACAAAACCCATTCAAAAATGTGGGGGAGATTCACAAAGAGTGGACTGCAGCTGGAGTGAGTGCTTCAAGAACCACCACACACAGACGTATGAAAGACATGGGTTTCTGCTGTCGCATTCCTTGTGTCAAGCCACTCTTGAACCACAGACAGCGTCAGAAGCGTCTTGCCTGGGCTAAAGAGAAACAGGACTGGACTGCTGGTGAGTGGTCCAAAGTCATGTTCTCCGATGAAAGTAAATTTTGCATTTCCTTTGGAAATCAAGGTCCCAGAGTCTGGAGGAAAAGAAGAGAGGCACTTCATCCACGTTGCTTGAAGTCCAGTGTAAAGTTTCCACAGTCAGTGATGGTTTGGGGTGCCATGTCATCTGCTGGTGTTGGTCCATTGTGTTTTCTGAGGTCCAGGGTCAACGCAGCCACATACCAGGAAGTTTTAGAGCACTTCATGCTTCCTGCAGCTGACCAACTTTTTGGAGATGCAGATTTCATTTTCCAACAGGACTTGGCACCTGCACACAGTGCCAAAGCTACCAGTACCTGGTTGAAGGACCATGGTATCCCTGTTCTTAATTGGCCAGCAAACTCTCCTGACCTTAACCCCATAGAAAATCTATGGGGTATTGTGAAGAAGAAGATGCAATACACCAGACCCAACAATTCAGAAGAGCTAAAAGCCACTATTAGAGCAACCTGGGCTATCATAACACCTGAGCAGTGCCACAGACTGATCGACTCCATGCCACGCCGCATTGCTGCAGTAATACAGGCCAAAGGAGGCCCAACTAAATACTGAGTGCTGTACATGCTCATACTTTTCATGTTCATACTTTTCAGTTGGCCAACATTTCTATAAATCCTTTGTTTTTATTGGTCTTCAGTAATATTCTAATTTTCTGATATGATGAATTTGAGATTTTCATTTGTTGTCATTTGTAATCATCAAAATTAAACAAAATAAACATCTGAAATATATGAGTTTGTATGTAATGTATGACTATAATATACAAGTTTCACTTTTTAAATGGAATTACTGAAATCAATCTACTTTTTCATGATATTCTAATTTTATGACCAGCACCTGTAGACCTGGTGGCTACTTCTGAACCAGACTGCTGAAAAAAAAAAAAAATTAAATCAGACCATTCTGCAACATGTCTCCGGATTTATAGAAAACTTTGAGATTCCAGAGACTGGAGGAATGGAGCATCAACAGCTTCCCTGCTGCAAGCCTGACATGCTAAGCTGTTGAATACTGGAGACAACTCTAACTTTTCCAAAATGGAGATCAGCAAAGGTTACAGGTCTGGCAAAATTAAGCAAAGAGTTTCCAGCTAACCAATTTGGGTTTTGATCATTTTGCCAATTTCAGGCGAGTAGGCCTACCTCCGACGGTACTGCAAGGTACCAAGAAGTTACCGGTGACCACATGTCACCATTAGCTAACATCTTTTGACCCTTTGTTTATAAAGCTAAAAACCTATATTTTATTAAAGGTTTATACACCAATATAGCGTTAACGTTTGTGTTTCCTCATATGGTCATTACATTTAATTACCAATATATGACCAAAGAGTACTTGAAGATGAGTCCCCTCATGTCTACTAGCTACTAGCTCAATCACAGGTTAAAAATCTATTTAATGATTGTTATTGATGTCTGATAAAGAGAATATTCAATAAATTATTATTTTACCATCTAATGTTTCATTTAATATGTGAATTTGCATTGTAAAAATATATGGTTTAAATATATTACAATTGCTATTAGTTAAAAGCTAATATGACTTCAATCCAAACTCTTCATGATACTTTGGTTTTCAAACACAAAATCCATGCTGAACTGTGATATCAGAGCACCATTTTATAGATTATGGTTTTCAACCATTTTTCCTTCCTTCTCTGTTAACATAGCAGCTTGGTTTAGTTCAGTTAACCATGATTTAAGCTCGCTAACATTCGATTGCTAACACATAGCCAGTTGGGCATTTGTCCACAAACATTATGACAGTCAGAATATTATTTGATTGAATAACACCTGAGCAAAGCATGAGACTTAATTTCTCCCTACAAGATGCACATTGAAGTTGCCTTTAAGGCATTTTGTTAAATAGATAAGTTCATGGGTTAAATAAATAATATTAAAAAATGTTTTAATGCTGCTAAAAGTGATTAGAAGTTGAATAGATGTATAATTCATAGTTTATTCACGTTTTTATAGAAAAATATTATCGGTAAAATCTACTTCCGGTTTGCGGTGACGCACTTCCGGTTCCGGGTTTCGCTAGGAAACAGAGAGGTCCATGTGCTGCAAACGGTATGGAAATGTGAAATCTGATGCCATCCACGCTGAATTATCAGACAGGAATGCCGTAAGTTGCATTATGTTGTTGTTTATGCTGAAATGTCACTTTATTCAGTTTGATGGACTTTTAATTTGTATGCAACGACTCTATGTATAGAGATTGAGTTTATTTTCTGTTATTACAGTTTTCACCGCATTTTGATGAAGGCAATAAACACGCTTGAATCGCACCTGGGTCTTCATTAGCGGTTTAACTCGGTGTCACCAACATCTTCGAGGTTGAAAACACTACAGTGAAAAGGCACCATTCGATTATTCATCGCGGTCAAAATGGCTACCAGCAACAAGTCTGCACGCAGCTTCAGGACCGGCCACTTGTCTGGATCAGCCGCAAGCGCTGCCCACGCTCGAGCTAAAGCAGAAGCTGCTAAGGTTAGAGCTCTCTATGCAAGTAAAGAAGCACAATTGAAAGTGGAAAAAGCACGAAGTGATCTGGAAAAGGCTAAAATAGATGCAGAATTGGAAATGTTAACGTTGCAAAGAGAAGCCGATGCTGCAGTAGCTGAGGCACAAGTGCTAGAAGAAGATGAGGCACTACAAGAGGAGCCAGAGAGCAGGAAATCATCTGAAAAAGTCAAATTAGAACGTACAAGCGAATATGTGCGATCTCAAAGGGACATTGAACAATCACAGTCTGCTCCAGAAATACAGACCACCTCACGCCCACAAGTAAGCTCACCCAACACCTTTGTAACATGGCATCCCCCAGAAGAAGGCAATTTAGAGCCACCACCCATTAGTTCTGAACCCAAGCTTACTAAGGACAATGTTGCTGCCTTGACTAATCACAGCATGCCCAGCCAGTTTAGAAGTGAAACCAAATTCAAATTAGAGAAACCAAATACCTCTCTCAACCCATTCAGCTCCCCATTCACGCCTCACTATAACGCACCGGCCAGTATCTCACATCCAGCTGAGCCATTTGCCCAGTATATGGCACGCCGAGATCTCATCACTTCAGGCCTTTACCAATTTGACGATAGGCCAGAGAATTTCAGAACATGGTGCTCTTCATTTACTAGTGCCACAGCTGAGGTTCAAATCAGTCCCATTCAAGAGCTGGATCTCATGACAAAATGGTTGGGAAAGGAGTCAAGTGACCAGGTAAAACGCATACGCTCAGTATATGTCAACAACCCCACATTAGCCTTGAGCAAAGCATGGGAGAGACTAAACGAATGTTATGCAGCACCCGAAATAATCGAAAAGTCACTTTTCCAGCGATTGGACAGTTTTCCCAAAATTACAGTCAAAGATCATGTCAAACTCCGTGAGCTAGGGGATCTCTTGCAAGAGATTCAAGGCGCCAAGGAAGACGGATATCTCCCTGGCCTACTGTATCTGGACACTTCTCGCGGAATCGGACCAGTCGTAGACAAACTTCCATTCGGACTTCAGGAGAAGTGGATGTCACACGGCTCTCAATACAAGGAGGAAAATAATGGCTGTTTCCCACGTTTTGACTATTTCTGTAAATTCATAAGCAAAGAGGCAAAGAAACGCAACGATCCTAGTTTCAACCAACAAAACAGCCAAACACATTATAAACCAGAAAAACCTTACTTAAAGAACTTTAATACAAGTAACACAAGTAGACCAATAACTGTGCACAAAACCGATGTTTCACCCCCCAACAAGGACATCAACAGGAACTGCCCGCTGCATAACAAGCCACATCCGCTCAAAAAATGCAGAACGTT